CAGACAAGATGTCAGTGACGGGGTGGAAATAAAACAATGTCAGTCACTGTGAATTAATTATTTTCCTATAAAAACAAATCAGCAGAGCAACGTACCACTCAGTTGTATCGAGTCATGAGGTTTGGCTGTCACACAGGGAACTGGTCATTTCTTACTGCCTGAGGGCTTGTGTGCTAGTCTGGTAGAGTACTGAAAGTCTCATTGCAGGGCAAGCAGGCTGTCAGAGTTGAGCCGAAATTGCAATTTCCATTATAAGCCCCTTATATTGAGGAGCTTATAAACCCAGCCAGAAAATTTTGCTTTAGGCTGAAAGTGAGCTGACAGGGTCTCAGCACAAGAGCAAGTGTTTCCAGTAGGGAATACTCTTCGTTGTGATGAGAGCAAGGTTCGAGTTAATGAATGAAGGGAGGTAAAACAGTAATTATGCTCTAAGAGGGAAGAAAAAGCAAAACATTCAAATGTACACAATACCAACTCATATTACTTTTTGGAAGCACAGTTATGCATTATATCAGTGGTAGACTCCCCTGCAATGCAAAAGAGCTGTTGCTCTGCCTTGCGGCAGAGTTTGGTTTAATGCAGCAATTGGAAATGTATGATAAAAAGTCCTTTTTGTGCCCAGGCCTGACCTTCCATCTCCACCTTAAAATACAGACTCTCTCAACCTTTCTGTTGTCATCCCCAACTGCATAGTATTCACAATGCAGCAATTTCTGACCTGCAGAAAGCCCCCAGTGCCAGGGTGTTTTTGTTCCCAGCACACAGTTAATGTAAGGAACACATCACCCAATTTAAAGCATCTGGGAGTCTGGCATCAAACTAAGCTATAGAGCTGCTGCAGAGGCATAGGCACCTCTGAGCCCTCCCAGATCAGAGAACAGGAGGTGCCTGGTTTTCTCCAGTGTCTGCAGAAGGATCTTATGTGACTTGGTGTTTAAATCTTAGATGGCAAAAGATAGAGGCAAAGAATCCCACCACAAGTGTCTACAGAGAAAAAATTGTCATTACATCCCCTTGTCACTACCATACTTTGCATAGCTGTAGCAGAACAATCTCTAGATGATGTTGGAGACTGAAACACCTACAGCCCTTGGAGGTTTGTAATGATGCTCCAGCAGTTTTACAGACCATTTGGAAACAAATGTGTGTTCTTAATCACAAACTTTACTCCATGCTGACAGTGCATTCCTATCAAACTTGATGTTTTAAACATCATTAAAAAGCAACCAGTAACTGGAAAAGAGGTAAAATGGTGACAGGAGCAGATCTTTGGTGGGTGTGAAGTTTCTACCTCAGTCTCTCGTAAGGTACCACGTTTTTCTCTCCTTGAAAAGACTTAGCCTGAAGAGGTGATTTCAGAGAGTCAGGCAATCCCTTTGCTGAGCGTTTGGCTTGTGCATAGTGAGCACTTGGGCTTCTGGGGGTCTGCCAGATGTCACAACTCTAAAATGATTTACTTCATGCACAGATGTAATATTTTGCATGGGAAAAAGAAAAAAATAATAATAAAAAAGAAGAAAAAAACAACAACAAAATCCTCTACACTGTAAGTGAAGGAACTTCTGAGAGCCAAAGATGATCATTTTGGCTAGGGTATTCAGAGGAGCTCAGAGGAGCAACGTTACCAGATACCAGTGATTATAAATTGCTGTTGGAGCTGTAATTTCTTACAGAACAAGGAGCTGAACAAGTCCTGCACTGAAAATAAGACACTGAAGGTGCAGCTCCTCGACTGGCCCTATGAGCTGCTCCTTGCCAGCTGCCTAGCAAATGAGCAATGCCCAGTTAAGCAGTGGGCTGTCTTGTACACAGGAATTGCTGTAACGGTGAAAAATAGGCAATTACTGTGAAATAGCCGAGTGTCCATGGGCTCATGCTGAGTGTTACCCTGCAGTAACCCCTGCACGTAGCCTTTGAAGATCACAACCTCTGACTTCCTAAATTCCTGCTGTGGACAGACGTGCTACACACCAAGCTCTCAGAGCCTGCAGTCAGCACACTGCCTCGCTATTCCACCAAAAGTTTCCTCTGAAATTTTAAGCAGAGGCAGATTGTTAGATCAAGGTGTGCTCCGCTCTTTTGCAGGATCCACAGATTTTGCAACATTCTCAGTGTGAGACCACACGACTCACTCACACCTCGCTTGGATGAGTGGTCAAACACAAGTTCAAAAGCTGGAGGTGAAAATCGAGGGACTCACTAATCCCCTGTCCTGCTTGGACATGAAAGAAGAGCTTTCCATAGCACGTTAATTTGCATACATAAGGGGATCCTCATCTGCTTGTGCATAGCCTGGGAGTTAATCTATATAACTAAGCTTTTACAACCTGCTGTTTGCTTTACTGAATGGTGCCATATAGGCCATTTATATCTGAACTCAGCAGAGCATTCATTTGCCTGGTATGTGTATTTTAACACAGCTTTTGGAGTTCTATGCGAAATGTGCATCAGTATTTGCAATTAATAATCAACAAATTATATGGAAACTTTTTCAAAGGAGCAGAAGCAAAACCAGCTTATTTTACCTACATTGATAGTTTAACCTGCAATTTGAAAGCACCTGTTTATGGACGTGGTTCTTCTATACATCTCCAATGATGGGTCATGAATGAAAATACTAATGTTTTAAAATGGAGAGTCAGTTACACCACCTTAGATGAAGACAGAAAGTAAATATTTTGGTGAATGGTGATTGACCTGAAGTACCATCAAAGGTTTCTTTCAGACAGATGTGCAAAATCCCTCCTTTTTTCTCCCTCTTAAGATAGATATTTCAAGCTTATAAATGGGGAGAAATTCTCTGGAGAGCAACATATTGCAAATAAAATTTAATCTATAACCGTCTGACTTTAAAGGCACAATCCAAGCTCTCTATTTTATCTTCTTGACAAAACAAAACAACTCAATTTTAAGCTTGCTCACATTGATTTTACATCAGGGAATTCACCAATTTCTGGGAAATTATTGATCTAAGCAAGATCAAAATCCATCCTTTTCTTTCTTTTCCATCAGAATTCTTTTTCATCTATTGATTATGATTGCACAACATGGCTTATTGACTCTGAGCTAATAATGACCAAGTGCTTTGGGATAAACCAAACCAACTTAATGGGCCACAACACCAGAATTGATCCCTGCAATAACCAAGAAATTAATTAAACTAATCATTTCCATCTAGCCATCTACCAGGAAGCCTCTAGTACTGCCATCCTCCTGCATTTAAGCCCACACAAGTTCCAACTGTTCAAAACACAAAGGAATCATCCATCTCTAACATCTATAAGTGGGGTCAGCACACAGCGACACTCAGCATGACCCTAATGGCACCAGATCTCTGTGTAGCGCAGTTAGGATTGAGCCAACTGTACGCAATAGCAGCTTCTTGCCCTCATTTATTATTCTTTTCTTTTCTGAGGTCAGATGGTTCACATCTATGAAAGGATGTATTTCTTCTTGATCACTTAGAGCCAGCAATCATTTCTCACAGCGTTTACAAGTCTTCATGTTTTAAAAATATATTTACAGTGTTTGACTTCCTCAGTGACCAGCTCCAGATGTAGAAGAAAAGCTGCAGCCCAGTGAGGGTGTGGGCTGAGTACAGTTGTAGCTTGTTCTTCCCAGTCCAAAGAGAGAGGGCTCCAGACTAATTGTGTTATAATGGCGTCAACCCCTGCCAAATGGCATGTGGGAGCTTGCAGTGTAAACCTGCACCTACAGAGTCCAAAATCAGATCTGAGGAGTGCTAAAGGCAGATGCAGCTCTGTTTTGATGGGAGGGGAAAGGCGTGTTGCAGCTCTATGGCTGCAAAATGACATACAAAATGACAGTGAGGTACGTGGTGGCACTAACAGGGAACTCAGCACCCTCCTCAATGTCTTTGGAGAAATCCCCCCCACACACATACTGGTTTTGATGAGGCTAAAAGGTCAGCTTTCTTTGCTGCTCTAACTTTGGTGCATTTAACTTTACCAGCTTGCCAAGATACTTGTGATTCACATAGGACATGGTAAGCTTCAGGCCGAGCCCCATGATTTTGCAAGAATTTGTTTTTCATGGAATTCTTCTTCCTTAACTCCACATGGGGTTTTGCCTTGTCTTTCTGGGGAAACCGCTGCAAAACAATGACTTGCTCCCACATACAGCAGTGTGGTGAGGAATTAGATTTGATCCATAGAGAAGTTCCAGGCCAGGAGGCTTTGAAGTGGTGATACACTTGAGCATACACATGGGAACCCTGGGGCTGAGGGAGCAAAATGCCTTCAGGGCAGATGGGGGATGCACACTTGTGAATAAATCTCCAGCAAGCACATTAACGTGCCTGAAGTGCATGGTCCTCTCCCTACTCAATACCTACCCTGCCACCTCGTTTTTGCAGTTACAGGTAACACCCCTGCTATCAGGGAGATATTTCCCTCTGACACACAGAACAACAGTTGTGAAGATACCCAAGAAATCCAGCTCACATGCCTTTGCCCCTCTCTGCAGGGTGAACACAAGTGTAGTATTTGGGGATCCTTGGGATGCTGTCTTTAAAGTGTTTGTCTGATATGAACTATCACACGAATGCAAACTCACCATCTGTTATCTCTGCTCTGCATGCTGCAGATCTACTGAACTCAGCATTGTTTGGGAACCTCAGGGGACTGCGTTTCATTGCCAGGTGATGAAATCCCAGAAAATAAGAAAATTGAAACTAAAACAGGAAACCAGAATGGCATGTGGTATGGTCACTCTGCAGGGGAAGAGCAAAGCCTGGCAACAGTTCTGTTTAGAAATGAAATCTGTTTCAGCTGCAAAGTTGATAGCAATCACGTGCACAAGGTTACATGAAAAGTCCTCGTTCTTGTTAACTTTTTGGCTGCTCTGGTGTCTGCAGGCTTCATGGGGGGATTGCAGGGAAGGGGTTAAGTCCTTCTCATTAGCAGAAGAGAGGCCGCAGCTGCATGCCCTAAGCACTTGGGGGTGGTGGGGCAAGGACAGCTGTCACGAATTACGGGATTCCCTTACACACTATAAAATGCCTTCTCTCGAACAAGCCTGTTTGGCTAAAAACAGGGGTGGGTGGAGGTTGAACTTGGTGAGGATGGGAGAGAAGATTATGTTTACTTGCTATATCCTAATTTTATTCCTGATGAGGGTGGTTGGCATTAGGTAAGGAAGCTGAATCTTCTTTTGGAAGTTGCCCTTTTAGCTAGTGCTCTAAGCCCAGTTGCCTTGTTGTTTTTGAACTACTTGGATGCTGATTTTAGGTAGCTTTGTTTGCTTCTTGTATCTGTGTTTCTTTTATAAGAGACAAAAGTCAGATGAAGAGAAGACAGATTTGGAGATTAAACCAGAGAGAGGAATGGGAGGGAAAGAAGCAAGCATCAATGAAACAGGACAATAGATCTGAGGTAACCTAGGGCATCTTAACGGAAAGCTTTATACAAGAATTTCTCTAGATTTATTTTTTTTTTGAAGTAAGTGATATTCTTGTTTGTAGTTATATCTTAAAAAAAAAAAAAAAAAAAAAGAGGTAGCTGCTTTAGAGTAGGATTTGACCCTGGTAATGGGGCCTTGTATTGACCTTTCTATGCTTTATCTGCACTGCAGGGAAGGAGGCTGGGATCCACCTGAATGCTGGCTTGTGCAAACAGAAGCAGGTTTTTGGAAGCTCTCCAGTATCATGGAGCTCCATAAGGTATGGCTATAGCTTTGGCGGTAAAGGGCTGGGAGAAGGGCTTTGACTTCTCCAGTCAGTTGTGGTTTCAGCCTTGGAAATGCTCTGTCCAGTGTGAATGAAGAATAAGTAATCTTGTTTTTTGTCCCTTGGAAGGAACAAATGACTCCATGGGGCTCATTAATTAACAATGTGCATGTGTAAGAGAGGAATAGGGAGGTTCTTTGTGTGTGCAACAGTTCTATAGAAGGGAACAGATGCTGTGTCTGTTTAATCCTGCCCTGGGGTGGATGCACAAGGAATGGGCTGAGCCTTGTCTGTCTGGTGTGCTGTAGGCACAGGCCAGCTATGGATTAGCATTGGCATGGAAATAGAACAGTTAGGCTTTAGGTAGACTTCTAAATCCAAGACCACCCTTGCTTACCACTGCCTTAAACATATCTGCCTCCTGTCTACTGCTAAAAAAGAAAGATAACTTAGTGGTAGGAGAGTATTAAAACAAGCAGTCTATTGCAGAGGAAGCACAGAGGTGCTGTTTTGGATTGTGCTGGCATAAGTGGAACAATAGAAATAGTCTGCACTGTCCTGTTGGGTTGTGGAATTTGCTCAGACAAAGAATAATATGTTCCACCAACCTCAGTTCATGAAGGTCACTGAGGGCTGCTCATTAGGAAGCAAAGATAAAAAATGCTGTTACATCCTCTAATTCAAGGGCACTAGATGAGACTGGAATTGATTGTTCAAAAATGCTGAAGATAATAAAATTGAGATCGCATGGCGCCTGCCTGGGCCAGCCAGAACATGTAAGCCAACGTAGAGCCTGAGATGTGCTTGTAGTGAAGAAAACTATTCTGTTCAATGAAACCTTTCTTCAGTAATTCCTGCTGTTCCCTGAATGTTGATCAGTTCCCAGATGTCTATCATGAGGCAGGCACCTCTCATGTCCAAGGGGTGTATATAACTTCAGAAGGGAGGACAGCTGCTGGGAAAGTTTGGGGTGGGTAACCCTGGAGGAATTTAAAAAAAGCTTTTGCATGTTTCCATCTTCAAATATATTGTAATTCTCCTGCAATGAATAAAGACCTGTTTTAATTTTCTTGTTCATAAGCATGACTCACTTCTAAAAACAAAAGGAGTAATCTTATTTCTACTTCTAAATCTTAAGATGCAATAATTGAAGCCAATTTGAGGACTGGTTTGCCTGGTTCTCACTAAAGGCTAATGGGCATTGGCCAATTAAATCCTCTTTTGCCTTGAAAATTCCAGTCAAAATACTTAAACTAAAAGAAAGGGTTTCTGCAGTCTCTCAACCCTATTAAAAAGAAGCTAGGGAAGCATTCAGTTTAATTTGGCACTAATGAATTTTAAACCAATTTCATATGAGCCATTTTCAACTTTAAACTCTCCTTTTTGGAAAAAGTGATCTATTTACAGCTGCTGCACTGAAACCCTCCCAAGATCAATTGATATTCCATCTTCCTGTGCCTGGCAAAGACCTGTGTGGTAGAGTGGTATTGTCCATGTGTTGTGACCATAAATTAATGTATGAAAAGCTTGTTTTACTGCTCTTGCTATTTATTGATGTTACTTTTCTTTGGTGGGTGGTGCGAGGAGGGTCATAACAGAATTATATCCTAAGAAACGGGCTTGACTGTAACAGGAAAGCAACCAAAGACCTAAGCCAAAACCAAGAGATTGGGGCTTGTGACTTCTGGAAACCTGGCTTTGATTAAAATGCTATTCATACAGTGTTAGCACACATTGCCTTCTCTGCCAAGTACTTCTCTTCATTGCCAGCTTTGCTATGCTGCTTACTGTATTGGTGTCACTGAACTGTGCTTAATTAGCTGGAGCCCATATGTATATTCAAACTCTTGGTTGTACAATGTTACACAAAAAGCTGGCTTGAGTGGTTTACTCCTGACTTACACTTCTTTTAGTTGATGAAAGCTAAATCCAGATCACTTATCTGGTAAACGCAAACATTACACTTGCAAGCTCTTGAGTTGCTGAATGGCTACTTCAAATGAATGTGAATGAGGTGATAACAAGAGTGGCACTTAGGTCCTATAAAGCAGAGGTCAGTGAAAACATCTCTCATCAGTTGTGTTCATACACAGCCAAATGGTATTTCAGAAAGTGCTCAAGCATGTAATAGGGACCTGTTTCTTAAAAGAGGAGGAACCTCATGTTTGGCTTGACATGATGAAAAGGGTAGTTCTTTGCCTGTTAAAGTGATTGAAAGTTTTCCTGCCCCATCAGGATGGTTAGGCTGTCCCAGTTGGTCTCACTAGGTCAAAAATATCAGTTTACAGGAAGTATGGGAGATCCAACTGACATACATTCTGGGGATCTGTTGATCTGATTTTCATGGAAAAGATCAGAAGGGTCTCCTAGGTCATCATATCTGGTCCTGTCTAACTACAGTTGGCTTTCCCCAATGCTTTTCTTTTAAGCCATGTTCAGCCAGAAGGAACATGTTTTTTTGTTTGTTTTTTGGATTGAGCATGTGGAAGGAGAACAGTGGAGTAAGAGGAATCACTGTAGGATGTAGTTTGTGTTCCCATGTGAAAGGTAAAGAACAAATGTATATCCTAAAGGTGCACTTACTATTGCAAATTCTAGACTGGTGCAAGTGGTCCAGGGATGCCCCTGGTCTTTGGGGTGCCCTGTCCCACGCTGCAGCAAGGGGAAGGGCTTGAGGAGCACAGCAGGAGCTGCCTGGCTGCTTCCACTGCTCAGCTACCATCTAAGAGCCACCACATGGACAGTGAGGAGTTAACAAAATGCAGCAAATAATGCTTTCCTTGTTTTTTCCCCTCCTCCCATGTGCTTTTATTTTTGTCTTGAGCTAAGTAGAAGTGTTTTTTCTTTGCCTAAGCTTATGTTTGATTTTTATACGATCCTCAGGTACCTAATGAAATTGCCACATGCTCAAGGGAAAACAAGTTTCATAACAGAATGATGGTGAAACATTGCTAAAATCCTCCAGGATAGAGGAAGGATTAGGAGAAGAAAATGCAGAATAATGTAGACATTAGCTTAAAGACAACAAAGGGTTCCTAGTCCACTGACATACCAGAATCCAACAGAAGTATTCATAATTACTAATAACAAAAGCCTGGTCTATTATAACAACTCCATTCAAACTAAAACACATGTAAAGCTTGTATGGTGGTGAGTGTATTTTGATGATAGGTCTGGTTTAAACCTAATCTGCTGAAATACAGACAGGATAGGAACAATGCTTTCTCTGGGGATCAACAACTTTGTCCCTGAACAGACTGCCTTATATAAACACCCATAATTGAGTTAAAATTCATGCAGACAGCTTGGATTAAAAAGAAACAAATATCAAGCAAATAAACAAAAATCATGAGCAACAGGGGTTGGAAGAGCCATTGGAGGGGGGGGGAATACCCTTTGAAGCATATGCCAGTGTATACTAAATCAAGAAAACATTAAACAGTACAGGTTACAGCAATGAATGTATGTTCCACCTTTCTGAAAAAAAAGTAGCTGAAAAGCCTTCTTTAACAGTGGACATCTTGTTTAGTGTTTTCTTATTTTCGCTTTTTTTAAAAACAGAGTTAGATACCACCACTTTAGCCTTTGCTTCCCCAAACTCTGTACACAAGTTAAAAAATGCCTTTTGCTTAGTATGTAATACTTTCAGCTTGCACTGATTTAGTCAGCTGGGTTATAAAGGTGATTTATCCAAAAGACTTAGCTATAATTATGTATGTGTATTTTAACTGAGTGAAGATAGAAATGAAATCACTCAAGTAACTATTTCCTTCCAATGTTCCTTGGCTCACCACAATAAACGAGCCTTGTATCTTGGAGCTGATACAACAGCCTGGAAGATTCCTGGACTCTGCTTTACCTGGTAGCATAGGGGTAAAATTCTTCCCTATTAAGGAGACTGTTCTCAGTCTCCCAGAATAAATCTCTCCTGCCCTATGGTGCCATCATGGGGCTCTTCTGGTGTTTTTTTTGTTTGTTTTTGCATTCTTTCAGCAAAATAGATGATGGGTAGGCTTTGGAGAGGTTCCCCACATTTCTGGTGAATGTTGGTCTATTGAATATTTCTCTAAACTTCTGTGCTGCTGCTTCTGCCACATACCAGATTTATTTATCTTGTTAAAGGCTTTGGGAAAGGGTGTGTGTGAGGCATCCTTGGGGCTTGATAGAACTGACTTCTCTTTTTAGGGTAGGCTTTGAGATTGAGCACCCTGTTTAGGTAGCCTCTGCTTCATGATATCAACTTTAATGTGGATGTTTGAATTGCTCTTCTGCCTTTAGATGCAGGTATGTGAAGGAAATCTGTAGGAAGCTTTGCAAGTTGGAAGAGGAAAGTGGTAAAAGATAACCACAGATCTGAAATCAAAGAAATGGACAGGGTTGTGAGGCTGATGAACGTGGGGAGGACAGACCTGGGACTTCTCGAGCCATGAAAGCTGTTTTCTTTGAACAAAATAGGGAAAAAAAAAAAGCTCTGTGTATTTGCAGATAAATGAGATTATATGAAATGTGTACTTGATTGGTGCTTTGTTTTAGTAACAGAAAAGAAAAATAACCTGTGAAGTCTGGAATTTTGACTAATTACAACACTTCTTCCTTTCAAGTGCATTATCAGAAAGCTTAATCATTTAAGCAATTTTCTATTTAAGGTACTTTCTTTTGCAACTTGTGATCAGTGGGTTTTTGTGGATTTTCCTACCTGGGACCATTGCAGTGATCTCAGTCCTGCAGGAAGATGACTGCCCCCAAACAGCCTTTCAAGCAGTGACTTTGCCAACTTCCACTTCTTGACCTTCTCTCCTGCCTCCATTATTGACCTTTGCATGGAACCTTTCTCTGAATCAAACCATGATTTAAATCATGTATGAGAGCCCTCTGAAATAAGACTGAACAGAAAATTCAGCTAACTTTGAATTCAAAAATCATTCTCTAGGGGCTTGGTATTTAGCTCATATTTCAGTTTCAGCTGCTTACTTGTGTTGGAAAAGTTATTTTTG